CGCACGCGCGCACGCACGCACGCACGCACGCACGCACGCACGCACGCACGCACGCACGCACGCACGCACGCACGCACGCACGCACGCACGCACACACACACGCACACACACACACACACACACCCACGCACGCACGCACGCACGCACGCACGCGCACGCACGCGCACGCGCACGCGCACGCGCACGCGCACGCGCACGCACACGCACACGCACACGCACACGCACACGCACGCGCACGCGCACACGCACACGCGCACACGCGCACACGCACAGCACGCGCACGCGCACGCGCACGCGCACGCGCACGCGCACGCACACGCGCACACGCGCACGCACACGCACACGCACACGCACACGCACACGCACACGCACACGCACACGCACACGCACACGCACACGCACACGCACACGCACACGCACACACACACACACACACCCACACACACACCCGCACACACCCGCACACACCCGCACGCGCACGCACGCACGCACGCACGCACGCACGCACGCACGCGCGCACGCACGCACGCACGCACGCACGCACGCACACACACACACCCACACCCACACACACACACACGCCCACACACACACACACGCCCACACACGCCCACACACGCCCACACACGCCCACACGCCCGCCCACACGCCCGCCCACGCGCCCGCCCACGCGCACGCGCACGCGCACGCGCACGCGCACGCGCACGCGCACACGCGCACGCGCACGCGCACACGCACACGCACACAGACATGGGGAAGCCAAAGGGAGAACCCGAAGCGATTGTGGGGAGCCCCCCAGGCAATTGCAGGATAGGGCACAGTCACAAGCATAAATGGCAAGTCGCCCATCCGGGTAGGCCATTTTGACCCACGTGTTGATGGTGACTCACCTGAACACCCCGAGGATTTCAAGAAGAACATGGTGCTGGCACATTTCATCATGACAGCATCTTGCCATCAGTGTCGAAGCTCGTTTCCCTTTACGACTTTGTTGGGTGTGTCCTTTGTGGGGTGCCCTTTTTGGGGGTGGTCGAAAGGGAATCCAACAGGACACCAACCATTTTGGGGACAACACCCCAAAAAGTTGGCACCCTCAACAAAAGGCACACCCACATCACCCAAGCCTGTAGATTGCTCGACACCTACGAGATCTGCGAAAATCTTCGGATTGGAGATCAATCGTCGAGGCTGCATTGGGAATGTGTGCGTGTGCCACCACAGAATCATCCAAATCGTTTTCCTGTCAACTCTTCACAGTTGGTACTTTGGACACATCCCAGGCGTGAGACAAGCATTTCTTAATTCAACATATTCTGCGAAGCATCCGGGACGAGAACAACCCTCATGCCAGAGGTAGTTCAACACCCAATGCCTTTCTATCCGCTATTATTTGCACCACTGCCAGACCTCAGACGTGCGCATGCATCAAGTTTTTCATACCTCACTTGTCAGGCAGATACAGTTCCTGAAAAGTGGTTGCAGCCTGAGCAGCCTGAGCATGTGTGCGTGTATGTGATTGAGCCGTGTGAATTGAGGTGCCTGCTCCTTTCAACAGGACAGACTGGCAGACTGGCATGCACTTGTCATGCGCACCTGTTCAGCGCGTTGGCAGCATGTAATGTTGATTCATCAAGAAAGATAAATTGCACTCTTTGCAACCTTTGCGCAACATTGGGTAAACAGCACCAGCCAAGCAGAAACGGCCATTGGCTCAGCTTGCCAACTCTCCGAAGCCATGGCAGCCTGGAGGTTCATGCTGATCCTTTGCATCCTTTGTGCGAGATTCTTGGACGATTGGACCCATGTGGTTTTCGCGGGTGCCGCTTTTGCAGCGATAAGGGAAACCCAAAGCACCCATGTTGGGATCCAAATCCTTATTCGACATATGTTCGTTGCACTTCGCATGCTACAAGGCGCACAGCCCTCGCCGAGAAGACGCTCCAGCCCACCACGGCGACGCTACTCCCCGCCACGAAGGCGGTACGACGACCGCAGGCGCTACGATCCGCCACGGAGGAGGTACGATGACCGTAGGCGCTATGATCCGCCGCGGAGGCGCTACTTGGCAAGACAACCAGGGGTTCAAACCCCATGCCAAATGACCAACTGATGAGGATAACCCGAGTTGAGTTCCTTGTTTACGACATATCCCGTGAACAAAGTTTGACTCAGGGACAACGAACTAAGGCTATGTCCCACCTGTGGTGTGTGCTCCTCATTGCACTTTCTGCATCATGCCTAAACCTCAGCGCGTCTAAGCCCTACAGGCCGCTGTTGTCTCACTTTGAACGCGGAGTTCCAGAGTCCGTCAGGGCACCTGCGACCGGTTCCCTGTGGGGAGGATGTTGAGTGACCAATTGCCCGCAAGGTCGGGCACCTGTGAAACGTGCGTGACTGGCTATACAAGGCGCGGGTCTCGTTCAAGAAGCATGCAGCAGTATGCATGCCCATGAAACAAACTGTGGCTCGACTGTGCCCTTTGCAAGCGGACGTTTCAGATGGGTTGATTTGAAAGGCTCCATTTTGCACCTTATTGGAAGGGTCAACATCTAGGTTTCAGAGTCTGTGTTCTGTATGCCTCAAGACGTTTCAGTGTGACGCATAAGCTTTGCCTGCAGGTTGGTTCCAAGTCTACAATGTGCAGCTTGCGCCTCGCACTGTTTGAGGCGGCTTCAACCCTTGAAGCTATTCCCTGGCCCCAGATCCCCGGCCTAGGGGTCGGCGAATTTGGCAGGTGTGACTCGGCGGGCCCTGCAAGCTGCGATGCGACAGGATGCATTCAAGGCTACACCAACGCGCCATGGCTGTGAGCTACATGAACATGTGGGCGTGTCGTTTTTGAGGGTGCCTTTGTTGGGGTTCTTTTAGCTGAGGGTTCTCCTATTTTTGAGATTTTCTGTCATGACTCTTTGCAGACGCCAAACGCCAAAGCAGCGCGAGAGACAGTAGGAGGCAAAGCGCTTCACGAATTGTAGGGTTGGTGGCGGAGTAGCTGGTTTGCCTGCCTTTATAGCATAAGGGGATTTGTGTGTTTTTGAGGGTTCCTTTTCAGGCTCAGGTTGAGTTATACATATTATATATATATATATATATATATATGTGCTACCCCCCCCCCTTCCGGGAGCCCCCCAAAAAGCACCCGCGCGCTTGCTATATAGATATATATATGCTCACACCCCACCCATGATCCACTTTTCCTCCTTTGCACATCTTCCATGTTTGCAAGTCCACTCAACAGCTACCATAGCTTTGCACATTTGCTCATTTGCCATCTTCCACCTTTTCAATTCTGCTCCACTACTGTCCATGGCCTTTCCACGTGCTTGCCAAAGAGTTAATCGAATCTTACTTGATTGATACAGCAAATATTTTCGAAGTATTCCCTTACTAAGTTCTATTCATGGACAGGCCACTTTACTTAGTTTCTAACTGTGGAACTCGTGCCCTATTAAATTCTGTGCACGTTCTGCTAGTTAATGTTAGTTTCACATCACGTATAGAAAGGACTTCTCCTTTCCATTCTCATTCGACATAGAAATCCTACTAGACTTTCTTCCTTTAAAAACTGATTAAACCTCAATTGGAGTCCAATTTGGTGTAAGCCTTGTAAGGAGTTCTTCTTACAGAGCTTTAGCAGGAGCTGTGCATGGAGCCCCACAAGCAGCTTAAGGAGCTTTATAAGAACTTTAACATGTGTGTATAAGGAGCCTTAAATGCAGCTTTGCAATGACCCTTATAAAAAGCTTTATCATGAGCCTTAAAAGGAGCTGCACAAGCGTTTGTGCAATAAATTGTACAAGGGAGCCTTTAAGGAGCCTTAAACAGATCTTTATGATGAGTAGTGTAAGGAGCTTTATTTGAAGCTTCATTCAAACAGTCTTATAAGCACCCAAGTGAGCTTCAAAAGGAGCTTTGCAAGCAGCTTTATACTGCGATCCTTATATGGAGCCATGACATAGAAAAGCTGTATAAGGAGCTTCAAAAGGAGTCCGACAAGCAGCTTTCCAAGTAACGAGTGTGAAAAGGAGCTGGACCAGGAGCCTTCATTAAGGAGCCTTCAAAAGAGCTGCATCAGGAGCTTGAAAAGGAGTGTTGAATTCCAACTTAACATTGAACATCTAGTTCACTGGTCACACCCGTTCACTGTGGCTCCAAGAAGGCTCAATCATGGCAGTGCCAATCCTGCCCAAATTATGGACATGCCAAGCGCAACTCGAGAAAACAACAAAACACAACCCAGAGGAGAGTGTCGGTTTTTGCCAAATGGGTCTGGTCTTGGTGGTTTTTGCCCGTGTTGTGTTTTTTGGTTTTCCCGGAGTTTTGTTGGGTTGTTCAGATCTATCCCTTCAAACAGCAAAAGACAACAATTATAATAACTAGGGTCCTCATGAAGAAGGGCCCCAACCGAGAAAAACCAGAATAAAAAAACAGAAAAACCAAAAACACAGGGGCCTCATGAAGAAGGGCCTCAAAACAGAAAAAGGAAAAACAAAAAACCAGAAACACCAAACAAGGGGCCTCATGAAGAAGGGCCCCCAATAGCCCCTCTGGCCCGAGCCATTGGGCTCTGGGAGTAGGGGCCCCTGGGCTGCGCTAGCTTCCTTCCCGGGGCGGTGCAGCTCAAGCACCTCAAATGCACCCCAGCCATGTGGCGCTTCATTGCCGGCGGTGGAGTGGTTCTTCGGCTTCGTGCAGTTGGTGTTTGTTGTGGACCTTTTTGCACCGCCCTTTGCGATGGCCGCTGGCCAGGTCAAGGGGTGCTGGAGGTCGGGGAGTTCACTTTCTCCCTGGTCACGTGTGATACTCAACGGCAAGAAAGGTGGCTTGGAACTTAGGTGCGGTGACTTTCTTCCGACTGGCAGTGGCGAGAGACGACGTCAGGAAGCAGTGTTGAACTACAAAGTAGTTGGGGCTTGAGTCGGCAGTTTGCTTTCTCTGTCGGGCGTGATGTTTTCCCCTTGAGCGATCACGTTGTACAGTTGCAGGCAAGTGCGACCACGGCTGCCCAGAGGCTGTGGTTGCCATTTGTTCGCCTAAGAGTGTTGCTTTTGCGCGATGTGGAAGACTTTGTGTGAGACCCAAACGCGGTCTGATTTTTTGGGCCCAGGCTGACTGTTTTGCTGCCGGCCTGGGTGCCCGTGCGATTGGCAGCTTCTGCTTCTGGCGTTGCTGCCTGTAGTTCAGGTCAGTGTGGCCCGGGGCCTAGAAGACCTCGTGGCCGCGGCGATGCGTCTGGATGGCCCGCTGCGAGAGTCCGAAGAAGGGCCCCAAACCAGAAAAAAGACCAAAAAACAGAACAGCACGAAAAACCAGAAAAACTAGAAAGGCCAAAAAAGCCAAAAAACTGGGTCTAGGAGATAGATCATGGAAGTCGCCCTTCTTCTAAAAGACCTGGTTTTTGGGTTTTTCTTGTTTTTCTAGTTTGGTGCCCTTCCACCAGAAGATCTTGGTTTCTTTCACTTCCATAGGACCTTGGTTTTTTCTCTTCCAGAAGACCATGCTTTTTCTTCGATTCTTTTTTTGGCTTGGGGGGGTCGCGGGAGGTGAGGCCCACTGCCGGGGTGCCTATCCCAGAAGGGAACTGGCACTCTGTGGTAGTAGAGGTCGTTTATTCGGTCCCTGGATCTATTCCGGAGAGAGTCCAATATGCGATATGATTGGAGGATGGATTGTCCCTGGTGGCTCGGATTGACTGTTATACCTGTAAAGCGGTCTGCAAGCCTTTTATCAATGTACCATGCGTCTGATGACTGTACAATTGAAATAGAAGGGCCTTGGGCCAATGGTTGCAGGAGATCAAGTGTTCAACAAACCAAACACAAAACAGACACAAATTTCTTTTGATCTCCAGCACTAGATATGAAATATGTTTGGCTTCATGGCCTTTGGCAGTAGCCTTGATTTATGCCGTAGCCATGTGTGTTGAAATACTGGATTCATCCTGTTTTCTGCGCGGATGAAATGTCTTGATTTGCAAAATGGAAAACAGTCTGTACTGATTCTGTGAGATGCCTAGATGTATCTAAAAGATGATGTGCATCGCTATGTACATGCGGGACGGATGTGAAACTATTGATCTCTCACTGAATAGTCTTGTTGGCGGTGAGGATCAATTCGGTTGAAATTCGTAGTGCCGATTTCGGGTGTTCTCTCAGTCGAGCTTCAGAAAACTTCTTTCCTTGGCGGATCACTCAGACCAAAGGAGGTCGAATGGATGCGAAAGGTGGCAGCTTCATCAGATAGTCAACGGTACCACCGATAGCTGCTGTCGGATTGACTGCCGTAGTCTCCGTAGTCGTTCCAGGTCGAGTCGCCGTAGTCCTTCCACTGCTTCGGATTGCCCCACTGCTGCTTGTTGTATTCCTTGTACTCTTGCTGAGTCCAGGGTTGCTTCTTCTTGAGGTACTCCTTGGATCGCTCAATTGGTGGCAGATCTGCTGCGGATGTAGACCATCAGCGGACTGTGTGAATCGGCATCTTGAGAGCCATTCATGAGCATCTCGTTGTTCACGCGCTTGAAGCGTTCCGCGGATGAGACCTGATAGTCGAAAATGGCAGACGTAGGGTCGTTCCGCATGGTTTCCAGTTGATCATCTTTCATTGCGTTCATGCTGGATGTTTGTTTTGCCCCATCCAAATACGAAAGTCATCATGACATCTGGGAATGTTCGATCAAACCCGGATCCAGTCTTCATGTATAGGTGATGACGGACGATGGATTTCAGGGTGCAGGAAGTCTCCATTGCATATTCTATTCTGTCCACGAGTGGCAAGTTCTCCGTTTCATTCCACAATCTCTGGTATGCCTTCATGAAGATATTCATGAGACCGTTGGCCGGATTGTAGACGTGTTGGAGTTTGCTGTAGGTGTTCGCGGACTTGTTGGCGTCTCCGGTGATCGCATCGCATTGATACAATGTCACGAGCGGCATGGTTTCGGTTTGAAAAAAATCCCGTGCTGCTCCATGGCTGATTGATGGATGGATGTGAAAAACTCCAATGGTAGCAAACGGGAGGTCTGCCCCGTCGGCAACCTCGGCCCAATGTACTTCTTGGATTCCATGAACAGTTGCTAGGCAGTCAGAGGTCGGGATGTCGTATTCGGCATCAGTGCAATGGTTCTTGGTTCCGAAGAAGCATCTGAACATACCGAATGTAGTTCCCCAGTTTTGACTCCTTGTGGAAATGTGCCGTGCCAATAGTTCCACTCTTGCGGAAGGTCCGCCGCGGACAAAGCATGCGATTGGTCTGGATGACCATTGCTTGATAGACTATGCCCTTGTATCCAAACCGGATGAACGTCTTGATGAGTTCCTTGGATTTCTCATCTTGAGGACTGAGGAATGCGTCTGCTTCATTTAGGCAGATGATGTGCGCGCTGTTCTGCATCATCATCTTCATAATTGGTCGATCCTTCATCGCCATGTTATTCACCTCCTTGTTGTCCAGCTTTGGATTCCTCGTAAGGTTTCCGTGGTTCATGGTGAGCATGTTGATCGTCAGGGATGAGGTGAACTCATGTGCCTTGAGATGGTCCACAGAGGAACGGTCAGTTGGCTGCATCAGCGATCCCAGAAAACCAGCAAATGCTTGGATGACCTCTGGTTTGTCATATGCTCTGAGCTTCTTCGATCCAATTGGAAGCTTGATCGGATATCCTGATACTGGCTGTGCCTTCCTGGTTTCTTCCATGGATGGCCATTCTCCTCGATGGTGGAAATAGAATTCTTCTTCATCGAGGTTGACATTTGGATCGACATGTGCCAATGAGGCTCGCTTGCATTCTGTCAATTTG